ATTATTAATTTTAGCTGTTGGTCTGAAGTAAAAATAAAAAATATTCATTCATCAAACATAAAACTGTGCTTTGGCAATTTATCAAAGAGCAGTGAAAATTGTGTTTGTGTTTGGCGAACAAACCTTGCAGCAAAAGCGCGTGTACGCATGCGCGTGAGAGTCGTTTGTTGGATCAGGTTTAAATTCCAGCGCAGCAATCGCAGAGCTCCTCCGAAACATCATATTCAGGCGATTTTCCTTCATCAAAGTTATGGTGAGTAGTGAATTCTGTATGTATTCAATCGTTTTTAAGTTCAGCCAAATGCAAGTCTCCGTAATTCCTGACATAAAACGAAAAGCATGGGTGTTAGCCTTCCGCTCCGTCATAATGTTGTACACAACCAGGGGCAACTGCACATTTACTGATGAGTATGCGTCTTCAACTTTTGCGCGCCCCCCTTCAATCCAACTATATTTTATAACAGGCAAGTGATAAAATGTGGAAAATATTTCCATCAATAAATTAAATATATTTTTTCATAAAGATATCAATATGCTTAAAAAACAGTTTCGCAGTTCTGAACACAACTGAAATAGTATGAAGTAGTAAAAGGTATAATTACATTAGGCATGTTAAGTCGCAAAGAAATGCATCTCATACCACCCCAAATTTCTTCTCAATTAAATTTTCCCTCACTAAATGATTATATCACCTTGACTAGCCTTGCTTTTAGACTTTTTGTACTACATTTGTCAAAACAAAAAGATAGACATGGGAGTCCTAAAGGGCAAAAGAACATTGCAATTACTTCTCACATGCATCCTGTGAGAAGTGTAAGGTCTGTCTTTGCAAGAACAATTGACTGAAACTGCTAAAAGTTAAATAAAAAAGACTGTCAAATGTTTAGGGGGAAAAAACAGAAACAAACAAATGTTCTATTTAATTGAAATGTTATAACTTTGTTTGTAGCTAAAATTAAAATAGTTTTGAGCTAAGAAGTTACCAAAAGGCCTGACGAATCAATATGATACATAATAAATTCATAAAAACATGTAGATGGTATGAAAAATGGGGGTGGGGGGGTGAGGGTTAAATGATTTTTTAATTTAATAAAATACAATAATATATGCGTATAAAATGCTAAATAAACCTTTTTAACAAATATATATATATTTGGAAAGAAAACCTGTTTTTTGTCTTCTGCTGTTTATTACTCACTGTAAATGATATTTAGAACCATTGCTGGAAACAAACAGGTGCCTGGCCAAAGTGACATTTTACATATAAATGTGCAATTTACCACATAGCATTCTCACAGTATGGAAAGTATTAATTACTATAGTATTACCATGCTAATAAATATGTGAACATCCACATTCTGTCATTGTAAAATTACATCTGCAATCCAACAGGAATAGTGTTTTTGAAAATGACACAGTATTATGGTGAAATTTGAATATATATTTGATATAGGCTTAATATTGACATTGCCGTTTTATATTTCTAACATACAGGGCCATTGGAAAACCACACAGCTACAATGAAGATGGGAATCCTTGAAACAGTTAGCATCAGGAGCATGATGAAGTTTAAGAGCCCTGTCAACTGTGCTGAATGTCTGCTGTCCTGGAAGAGGAGATGGTGCTCGACAATAGGACGCTTTATCAATGCATCGTTTGTGCTTTTGGATTATAGTATCTACTCAACCTGGAATACAATGACTAAATAGGTTTACATGGTAAATATTTGAAAACAGATGCAGCTTTATGTGCTTGAAGTTCCTCTTGAAGATTTTGTTTTACTTTTCTTGAAATTTTTGTGAGTTTTTTTTCTGTTCTGGAATCATCTGTCAACTGGGTAAAGTAACCCATTGTTTAGATTTGATAGTGCTTTTGACGATTTTAATATTCATTTATTAATTTTCCTTCAGCTTAGTCCCCTGTTTATCAGGGGGAGCCACAGCGGAATGAACCGTTCATTGATTATATGCAAATATATTAGATGTTTAATGTTAATGAATGGGTTTAACCATTAAAAATGTAATTTCATAAGTTCAGATTATCTTTTGTAGAATGAAAGTATTCAGGTGACAACACTAAACAATGGTTAAAGTAACCTCACAAAAATACTCAAATGTTATGCTGTTTTTTTTTACATTTTTGCAGATATTTGGGATATATATTAAGTACACTTCAGCTCTATGTATTAACCTTATTCCTCACGTACGAGCAGGCGCAGCCATTTGAATCTTTTTGGCTGGAGATTTCCGCTCTCATTCACTTCCTTTGATTTTTAGACGTTAAAAACTGTTTGTTTTGATGCTTGATGTTGCAATCTGATATTTTCTTAATATATTATTCTGCTTTGTCTGTAGAGTCATAAACACACTAGTTTGTAGAGCAAGTAGTTTGTCTGTTTTCCGCTGTTTAATATTCCTAGTCATTTCTCCCATAGGGCACTGAATCAAATGTTCTAAAACAAATAGGAAAAACTTCCGCCTTAAAGAATGAGGTCAATATTAGGAGAAATAAAATGCTAGAATTTATACGGTATACTTTGTTGAAATGTGTAATGTATTTGTTATTCTAAAGTACTTTTACAATAGTGTCTCTTTAATAAAAATAAATAAATAAATGTGGCAGTGTTTAGTGTATTATGATTTTGTTTATTCTATTATTCATTTTCTTTTGGGACAACGAGGAATAAACAATTCAGTAAAATTGCTTTAGCATTGTTTACCAATATACAATTAACCAATATACATTTTTAAATTAGGTGAAACCAAAAAAGCTTGTTGCACACAATCTAAAACATTCAATTGGGCCAATAACATGATTTGGCAGACTTGATGTTTTTTTTTTTAATTGGTTCAACACATTATTTCTCATTGAGCCAATGTTGACAGGCTGTTGCCACAATTGAATTTAGATGTGACCAGTCACTAGAAAATGTAGTTTGGGGAGTAAATTATATTTAAATTTATTTAAATAAATATTATATTGATTCATTTTTTACAGCGTATAAAAAATTTGAATTTATATTTATAACATAATTGAAAATATTATTCTATCAAAAAATTGAATAAATTATTTAAACATTTGCTTTATTTATTGTATGTTTTTTATTAGTATTATTATTATTATGGCTTATTTTATTATAGTTTTATTATAGTTTTAATAGTGCAATTAGTGGTGGATTGTTTTGAAAATCAGGTTAAAAGGGTAATAATAATTCCAGAATTGTTACTTTTATTTATTAATTATAACTTGATAAAAAATCAACATAATAGAGGAAAAGAAAAGAATTGCAGCCTCTTTTATATGTATTAAATAACAAATTTATTAATTGATTCATTTATTTAGAATGGTTGCTTCCACGAATCCTGCAACTTCCACATCTTCAAGTGATTCTGATGTAAATCTGCTGTCCAGAATCAGCTGGTTTGTCTTAGTTGGGCATCTCTGCTGAGACCAGTCCACTATGGGTGACCCTACCGGTATCTGTGAAGTACCAGTGGCGAAGCTCTCAGCATCACTGATGCACACAAGCCCTCACAGCACGTCAAGCTGCAAACCACGTGAGGGACCCTAACCTAACCTAACCTAACCTACCCTAACCTAACAGACACCCCAAACCACTTAACGCATCGAAACTCTCAGAAGAGTCCAGCGACCGACCAGCAACACGAGAACAACCGCTCAGAAAACCTCGACAACCGTGCAGAAAACCACCTGAAACATCCTGAAGACCACCGAGCAAACCAAGAACTTCAAGTCAACAACACCAACACCAACAACCAACCAGTTGATGAAACAAAACATGCAAAAGGAAACTTACTGTGAACTTGCTCTACAACTATGTACACTATATACATACGCAGGCCTGCAGTGTGGTTTGGGACACTGTGAAGACTCAGCGTCTGGCCCTCTTTCTGCTGGGCTTCTCAGGCAGTGGCTCTCCACTGATGTCCACATGGACTCGAGGAGCCATGCTGTCTGGTCTGGATCCACATCTGCGTTCTGTAATGAGGATTCGTCCATCAGCCTGCACCGTCTCCTCCATCACAGGACACCTGAGTGCCTCCCACAGCCGCTGCTTGATCTCCAGGCCCAGCTGAAGGCTGTAGGGACGACTCTTGATCATGGGCTCGACCACAGAGCGGTAGATGTCCTGGTAGGCCTGAACGCTGTAGCCATGGATAGAGAGTGGCTCCTCCTGCTGTCCCACGTCCACTGAAGGCACTGAGGATGCTGGATGGATTTGGGGAAGGACAGCTGCGTTCTTCAGGTGATGCTCCTTCAGACCTGGGGAAGAGATACAGCTGTAAGTATGATCCAACCTGATCACAGCTGCAGGATCCTGAACAGACGGGACACCCTCCAGCAAGAAGTCCTTCAGGTGTGCTGGAAGACTCCTGATTCGTCTGAGGCGCCGCTGCTCCATGAATGTCAACTTTCCAAATCAGACAATCTGATGAAACTTGTCAAAGTGAAGAGTTGAAAGAGCTCAAGTGATCAGATTCAGAGAGATGTGTTGATTTCAGTGTAAACTCAGGTTGCCGTGGTGACAGAATATTGGAGTCATTTAAATGTAAACAACACTTGATCAGCAGAAAGTCAATCAGAGCAGTAGAGGAGTTCTTCTCTATTGCTTCTCTATTACACATTGTGTCATTTTTACATTATAAATAAGTAAATATAGTGTGAACTAAACAAAATGTGTAATACAGAAACATTAACACTTTCAGTTAACTTTGATTAAAATCAGTTGGGGTAAGCAGATATCCTGATAATTATTATTATCATTTTTTTATCATAACCAGGCCTAGATCCCAAAACAATAATAAAAACGAAAACATACATAAAATTTTGTCTTTTATTTATTTATTTTATTTTCATAATCAATTTTTATCAAATTTTGTTGCAATCAAACTTTATTTAACCAAATTTCAAATACGTTTTTTATCTGATCATATTTTTGCAATAATTATTTCATTATTAAATTCTATAAAACAAAATTACACTGTAAATAAAATTATTGTGGACACTGACAATTAAATATTGACTCAACAAATGAATTCACAATAATAAGCCCCAAACGAAAAAAAAAATCCACATTATTAATTTTAGCTGTTGGTCTGAAGTAAAAATAAAAAATATTCATTCATCAAACATAAAACTGTGCTTTGGCAATTTATCAAAGAGCAGTGAAAATTGTGTTTGTGTTTGGCGAACAAACCTTGCAGCAAAAGCGCGTGTACGCATGCGCGTGAGAGTCGTTTGTTGGATCAGGTTTAAATTCCAGCGCAGCAATCGCAGAGCTCCTCCGAAACATCATATTCAGGCGATTTTCCTTCATCAAAGTTATGGTGAGTAGTGAATTCTGTATGTATTCAATCGTTTTTAAGTTCAGCCAAATGCAAGTCTCCGTAATTCCTGACATAAAACGAAAAGCATGGGTGTTAGCCTTCCGCTCCGTCATAATGTTGTACACAACCAGGGGCAACTGCACATTTACTGATGAGTATGCGTCTTCAACTTTTGCGCGCCCCCCTTCAATCCAACTATATTTTATAACAGGCAAGTGATAAAATGTGGAAAATATTTCCATCAATAAATTAAATATATTTTTTCATAAAGATATCAATATGCTTAAAAAAACAGTTTCGCAGTTCTGAACACAACTGAAATAGTATGAAGTAGTAAAAGGTATAATTACATTAGGCATGTTAAGTCGCAAAGAAATGCATCTCATACCACCCCAAATTTCTTCTCAATTAAATTTTCCCTCACTAAATGATTATATCACCTTGACTAGCCTTGCTTTTAGACTTTTTGTACTACATTTGTCAAAACAAAAAGATAGACATGGGAGTCCTAAAGGGCAAAAGAACATTGCAATTACTTCTCACATGCATCCTGTGAGAAGTGTAAGGTCTGTCTTTGCAAGAACAATTGACTGAAACTGCTAAAAGTTAAATAAAAAAGACTGTCAAATGTTTAGGGGGAAAAAACAGAAACAAACAAATGTTCTATTTAATTGAAATGTTATAACTTTGTTTGTAGCTAAAATTAAAATAGTTTTGAGCTAAGAAGTTACCAAAAGGCCTGACGAATCAATATGATACATAATAAATTCATAAAAACATGTAGATGGTATGAAAAATGGGGGTGGGGGGGTGAGGGTTAAATGATTTTTTAATTTAATAAAATACAATAATATATGCGTATAAAATGCTAAATAAACCTTTTTAACAAATATATATATATATATATATATTATTTGAAACTCCTAATATGGATAATTTCAAAAATAGTTTTGGCACAATGGCGCCCGCCATGTGTGGCGCCCCTATGCACCGCATATACTACATACCCCCTTTTTGCGCCACTGACAGTAATGTACTATTCACCCTCCCTGTTAAATTTGATCTAATCATGTCCTGAAACACAGCTCCTCTCCTGCTTTCACTTCTCATACTGACGGAGGGACTCGGGAGCGATTCGTTTGTGAATGAATCCCCCGAACGACTCTTTCACTAACGTTAACCGACAATAATACAAGTTTCTGGCAGCGCAGCATCTCGTTGTCATATTTCTTTTGCATTGTTTGCTGATTTTATTCAACAAAACTAGCATAAGCCAAGTGTTTAGTGCGAGTTGGAGCTTCTTTGTCTTATGGTGAATGCTGTAAGTGACTGTATTATCATCAATAACGTTACCTGATTAGCACAAAGTTCAGAACATACAAAAACAGAAAAAAACTTCATATTACCTATGAAATGTTCTGCTTTGTGCTTTGATTTCTTTGTTTGCTCGTTTCTACACCCGTAGACAGCGCTAAAGTCCCGCATCTTCACGTAATAACACTGTCTTGACTAGTGCGGTTGAATGACATTTGTCCTGGGAGCACTGTAGCAATGTGGCGGCGCTATTGACGCATGCTCAGGGTCCCTATGCGATATATAGTGTATATATCTATGATAGCATGTTACTTGCTACTAACCACCCTCCACGGCCAAAAAGGTCCAGCATATGTCCTATTTACCATATAATTAATATAATATATTTATATTTAATATATATTTCCGTCACGTCTGTGTTTTTGAGGTTGTTTGGTCACTTCATTCGTTTTATTCTGATCAGATACCAGATCGCTCAAACCACTTCAGAAGGTGATCTGGGATGCATTCCAGATGAAACTGGACAGGTATAATAATTTTATAGACAAAATTAATATAAATAAAATAAATTATAACCGGGAGAAACTCTGCCCTGCGCCTGAAACACCTGTAGGTGCGCTTTTACGGCCAAAATTCTATTAAAAAAACATGTTTACTATAAGCATACAACATGTTCTAACTTTTCAAGCCGGTAGCCAGGGGGATTCGGAAGACCCACCCCTCACTGACAAAGGTCCAGATTTGTCCCATACAAAAGCTCATTTGTCCTTTTTTGACTGCTATGCCATCATAAGTAATGAAAATACTCCAACGAAAAAGGCTTTAAGACCAAACAGAATCCTCCGTCAGCTGATGCTTCGGTGGGACTATAATCTGATGCAAGAGAAGTTTTCTTTCACCACTGTATTGTTTTTAAACAGAGAAAACATTTAACAGGTAACTTTATTCTAAATCTTGGACCTTATTTCTGAAATAAAAATAAGCACTAAAAAAGGTGTGAAGCACCAAAAGCGGACCATATTAAATTGATTTGAATATATTTTGGCTGTTGTTGATATCCGGGAGTTTTCAAATGTACTTTTTGTTTTTACCAAAGAGACTAGAAAAATTCTGAAGAATTCATTATTATTGTTTTATTATTATTATAATTATTACTATTATTTATTGAAATGTCCCAATTGTGACTAAGGGAAGTTGCATGTGCTGGCAAGTTTGTTTTCTAATTTCTGTCTAATAAATGACAGTAGGCTACAGTTTTTTTTACTTTAAAACTTTAACAGATTGCTATTTTTTCTTGATATATATATGATGTGATAAATTTGTAATTCTTTTTTTTGTCAGCTTAGTCCCTTTATTAATCTGGGGTCACCACGGCGGAATGAACCGCCAGCAAGTTTTTACGCAGCGGATGCCCTTCCAGCCGCAACCCATCTCTGGGAAACATCCACACACACATTCACAACGGACAAATTAGTCTACCCAGTTTCACCTGGGGGAAACCGGAGCACCCGGAGGAAACCCACGCGAAGGCAGGGAGAACATGCAAACTCCACACAGAAACGCCAACTGAGCCACGGTTCGAACCAGCGTTTTTTAAATTTGTATTTAAAAAATTTGTCTTGTTTTATCTTTATTTTTTTATTGCAAAATATTTTTAGTACATCAAAAAGTGTGGTTATGATGACATCTGACTAGCTAATCCAGGAAACACAAATCACTAAAATGCAGTATTTAAATCTTATAGATAAATAGATAATGAGGCGTATAACTGCAAAAAGGTCCAATTTATGAGAACAAAAGGACCACTTCTTTCACCAGGCTGGCTACGGGCCTGAATAAGATAAAGCCATTTTTCCACTTGAGCCCCTGCCCCTCAAAATGTCTCCTCCCTGCCTCTGCTTCTCATGACTTATGATGCCAGAAGTTTGTCAGTGATGGTGTGCCAACCTGTATGTTGTGGATAGGTGGCTATAGTTCATTTATTTTCTTTGGGCTTAGTCCCTTTAATAATCAGGGCTCGCCACAACTTATCCAGCACATTTTTTACACAATGGGTGCCCTTCCAGCCGCAACCCAGTACTGGGAAACATCCATACACACTCATTCACACACAAACACTTGCCAGTTTAGTTTATTCAATCAATTAACCCATGCCGTATGTCTTTGGACTGTGGGGGAAACCGGAGCACCCAGAGGAAACCTGTGTCAACATGGGGAGAACATGCAAACTCCACACAGAAATGCCAACCCAGCCGGGACTCAAACCTTCTTGTTGTAAGGCAACAGTGCCAACCACTGTGCTGCCTAAAATGGCTATAATATGAAAAACAAATCTATAAATATATGACTGGAATCTTTTTTTGTCCCTTGATTTGATTTTGTTTGAATTTGAGCATGTGTCCTCGATAAAGTTTAATGTTGTTTTATAATATCAAGAAATGCAAATGTTGTGCCTCTTTAGCCTTTTCATTTATTTTAGATTATTTTACACATGGGGCTATTTAAATATCATATTGAAGATAATGCTTGCACTGCTGTTTAATTTTCTAAGAAATAAACTTAATATTGTAGGGCAGAGATGTACAGTAATTGGTAAATGGCTTGAATCAGGAGTTAATTCTGGACTGCCATTACATAGAAGTTTTTGCGGTAGTATATGTTGTACCTTAAATGAACATCAGTCATCTTGGTTGCGTTTATTTACATCAGTCATGATGATGGCAACAACTGGAGTATAAAAGGCTCATTTGAAAATAGTTAGATAATTAAGCTAGTTGTTTGTTACATGTAGCTTTCAAAACAAAAATGGACTTTAGAAAGTCCCTAAAACTAATACTGTTTGTAAGACGAGGCATTCCAGGACATCAACATCAAGCACACCAAGCCAAGTTTCAAGTCATTTGTTTATTTAAGTATTATGATAATAAATTTTCATTTTGCATTTTTCAATCCCAGAGCATCAACTCTGTTATGTGCACAACGATGAAATAAATTATTCTGAATGACAGCGAATGCTAACATAATCAAGCATGTATATTAAGGCCAGTTTTTGTGTAATAAATTATTTGATCTAGTGGTAAAACAAAGAAATGTTGCTTAAACTGACAGACGCTTTTTAAGTTCACAGCCAAACAGAGAATGTGCAATTATCGAAATACAAACATAGTTTCATTAAGAGTTTAAGGTAAGAGTGCTGTTATGAATACAGAGGTTTTATCAATGTTTAATAAAATGCAAAAAAGGCACCGTAAAACATTGAACTACAAATAATAATAATAAAAAACTCTCAGAAAAGCAATAATGAAAGAATATTAATCATAATGTGTTAATAAGACTAATATTTCTGTACCTTTATCAGCATTTCAAGCATCAGTTAGTTCCACAGCTCTCAGTTCATTTCTCTGGTGTGTATATTATTAACCTCAAGTCTAAAGCAAAACAAGCATCTCGACTACCTCTGGATTATAAATCTTATTTAAAGCATATATTCACGTTAAAACAGTTCATCATCACATTTGCAGGTTTCCTCTATACACATCTGAGCAGTTGTGCTTCCAATAGTACAGTGCCAAAAACATCCTCAAAGTACACCTTAGATGCTTTTAACCAAAAGAACAAAACTAAACATAACAAAACAAGTAAACCCAGCTAATCTTGGTTATTCTACGTACAAATAATGGTTCACGTTACATTCTAAGTTATACAGACAAGCATTTTAGCTAAAGCACTTATTGTATCATTCAGAAGCATGGAATAAAAATGTTTGAAGCTGAGGTTTAGGTAAGACGCTCATTTGCTACAGATAAAATACAAACAAATCTGGAAAAAAAAAAATAAACACACAAACGAAATGCAATATTGCAATTCAATTTTAAATACATTTGTGAGACTTTCTACTTGACAGTCCAAATCGTTTTTGATTATGCGAGGTTACAAATGAATCAAAATGTACATTTAATTACAATCATTAGTAATGATACTGCATTTGTGATTTGTTGTCATGATGATGCAGATGATACATTATTTTCAACTTTTTTGTTTTTGTTTTTCATTGATTTACTTTTTACATTTTAGCAGCCAAATATCGACAAGGACTAAAGAATTAGCAAATCCTGTAATCAGTCTTCTTCAAAAAGCCTGATTGTCACAAACAAACTCTTCACAGGACGTTTCTCCAATCTTTTTTTGCTCACAACATTCAGATTTCTTCAGATGCTAAGACTTTTAAAAGACAAATTTAGAAAGCATATCTGTTTAGGCTACAGTGTGAAGATGCATTTGATTCTGGGTTTCTTCTGGAGCTGTTAGCAAACCCTGCTTTTTTGGCTGAGGTTTGCATAGTATTGTGAGTGAACGACTGCAAAAATAGCTTTTTGCCTTGTTTCTAGTCTGAATATCGAAATATTATTAAATTAAGAAGTGTTTTCTAGACAAGCAAAACTAATGGCCTTGATTTAAGAAATAATATGGCAAAATTAAGTGAGCTTTTTTTCTCTTAAAACAAGCATAATCTGCCAATGAGGTAAAAATAATACTCTTGTTTTAAATCAAAAACAAGATTTAGACATACCGATTAGTTTGCATGTTTTAAAGGAAAAACTCAATCAATTTGGACACATTATTTAAAAAAACAAGACAATATTTATTTCTTGTCCAGAAATTACTTCTTGATTTGAAAATGTGCAGACTTTTGGACTAGAAACTAGACAAAACCTCTAGGTAAGAAAAGCATTTTTTTGCAGTGTGGACCAAGACTACCTGGTTTTCTGCTGTTCCCCCCATATCCCCCCCCCCCCCCCCCTCCTCCATAGTTCCTAAAACATGCAAATGAGTGGACCACCACACATTCAGGAAAAAATATTGAGAAAGGAATGCTAATGCCGAGCGTGGATTTTGTTACTACAGGTGCAAACACGCTTCCAATCCTATGCAGTTGCATTTTAAACATGCCGATCCATGCAAGACTGAAAGAGGTGCTCATTCAGTACCATAACCCTTCATTATTTTAAGGTAACGTTCTTGGTTCTGTGCAAGTTAAGCTCAACCGACAACACTTGTGCTACACTATAATGTTGATCATCTTTAAAGAAACTCACCCCTCATTTCCTTAAAGCAGACATGAAATGGAAATTCTACATGTATTGTGATTATCCATTTGTTAAGTCATGACGAACAAAATAATGTTTCCAGGTCCAAGCCACTATTCATTTGAATTTAGAAAATATTTGTTTATGACTCCTTTTTAGTAATATCACAAATTAAAGAGATTTTTTAAATAAGATTATGGTGTATACTACAGTCTCTGGACTTACTGCATCACAGACACCAAATTTTTAATAATATATAAATATTAATCAGTTTCTGGCAATCTGATATTAGGCATGGTTAAATATATTGCGATCGTGATTTTTGAAAGTATTACATCACTTTTTAATAATTTATTATTAACATTTGTTGAGCCTCCCCATACAGCTGTATATATTGCTTTGACCCGGAAGCCACTTTGCATAACGTCACACTTAACAAAATGAATTAATCCACTCAAATTCCCTTTAAATACACTTTTAAAAATAAAGATGCTTAAAAGGGTCTTTTTTGGTGTACATGGTTCTTTGAAGAACCTTTCACAGCCATAGAACCTCTTCAACTCATAAAAGGTTCTTTGTAGCCCCAAATGGTTCTTTATACTACAAAAAAGTTCTTTATGCGATAGCTTCACTTTGAAGAACCAAAAAAGGTTATTCTATGGCATTGCTGTGAAACCCCCTTTTTGGTTCTTTGTGGTACCTTTTTTTTCTAAGAGTGTAATCTCATAAATTTAAATGACTTGGTCCTAAAATATAAGATTTCAAAAAAGGCATGAATGTAAGTGTATACAATCAAAAGCTTGAATTGTTCTTATGAAACTTACTATTGTTGGGCTGTAAATTTCGTCATTTTTGCTGTCATTTTAAGATTTTATGTCAAAAGAATTGTACAAAGGGAAGGTTAGAAAAATAAAAACCCACTAAATTCACTATGAGTATGTTAACATGGACACCAATAATAAGACAATAGTCTGATTAAGAGCCTACCTTGTAAACTGCGATTTTTGGCCAATTTAATAAAATTAAGGTCATAATTGAACTAAACAGAAATCGAATTAAGACATGTGGAGTACGCCAACTTTAGACGCATTGTTGAAGTGCAGTACTGATAAACTATTACCGTCATGTAGGACTGACAGGATTTTTCATACACACAGGGCGGTTTGACACTATTCTCTGCATCTATCAAGTCAGTAAGGGACCACAGACACACACACCGCAAAATGCTGAGTTTTTTTTCTCTCCCATTTGGCATGCAGAATTCAATTCCATTAAACAACACTCTCTTCATTCTTTGTACTCTTCTTCGTACTCGCATCCAATACCTCAACTTGTTACAGGGGCATAAATGAAATGTTCCTGAATGAAAGTGAAAGTGCCAAACTGCAGTTAAAGTCGACAAGTTAAAAGCGAACACCCGAAATTACATGAAGCATGGTGACGCAATGATGTAAATCGAATTATGTGCGATAACATGTAAAACAGGAACATGAAAAAAATCATTCAAAAAGCAACTCATGTAAACACCTTAATCATATTATGATCTTATTCAGATTAAGGTAAATAATTAGATTACTGATGTCCATGTAAACATGTAGTCACTAAAACTTTTGTTACTGGTTATAAACAATAAGCATATTAACATTTACCAATCAGAGGTCTGTTCTTTGTACCTTGCTTAAATTATCTGAGATGGTTTGAAAGATACTGGATCTTTTAATCTTGATAACTGATCTCTGGTTTATTAGATTCTTCAAACAATGTCACAAATCAGATTAAAATGTCCTCGCAATCATGATCAGCAATAGCGATTAGCTGACGGCACAGCAGTGGCATCATCTAATTAATATTCAATTAGTCATATTGCAAAATTACATAGAATTGGTAGTAAAGGGTTTGTTAAATATGATACGTAATAACTTTCCACCTTTGTTGAGGGCTGCATGCTTTACACTGTCACGAGTATTTAGCAATTCATTTAGTTTTACAGTTAGAGTGGATTTTCTTTATTATAGTAGCCATAGTAGTATTAGCCGGTTTCTTAATTGGTGTAAAGAATAACTAGATGTTTGATTCAATTTTGCATAAGAAAAGCATTTTGATACTGGTCAAAGTGTCTGCAACTTTTGTGAATCATCAAATCACCAGCATATTCCCTTTCAAAACATGTTCATGACTGAATAAATGTAATATTCTTAAAAAAAAAAAAACTAACATACTGTGCATGTTTATTATTATACACAAATTGTACTAAAACTATTGTACGCGTTTGTATCTAAAAAGTTCATATCAATAAATTTTCTCTTTGAACCACCAGGTGGCAGTCTTAACTATTTACTATTTTCGCAAGTGTAAATAACTTCTACTGTAAGAAAATATCAGAATTCGGTGCATACTTTCAGCATTATCTTTGCTTGAACTGACTCTATCTAATCCTGTTTATATGAAATAAGCCTGCTCCCTAGCAGGTTTGAGCTACCAGAACTGTTGCTATGACAACAACTCTCGAATGAATTTTGAAGAACGAAATGATCCTGGATCGTGTCAAATCGTCAACAACCAAATATAGCTAATTGAGTAATCCATGTATGAAGAATAGACCCCTGCTGTTCACTTTAAATATTGCTTCACTGTAACAAGGAGCGCAAGTTGGAGTTCATTCAAACTAATTTACTAAAAAATGATTGACAATAATACACACACATGCAAAACATCACAAATATCCCAATAAAATAAAGTCTACTAAAGATTCTAAAATGTTACAAATCAAAGATTACAGTACGCATGTTGTCGAGTGAGCTTAACGTATATATTGAACCTGGAGTATGTTTTTTTGCTCAACAGCTTTCCAATAATAGAAATTCTCTAGTATGATCAATTGTCCATGCATTGATATGTATGTATGAACAAAACCTTATGAACAGTGTTTCTTTTCCTCATAAAAATCAGAAAACATACAGAACATATGGGATGCTCCAACTCCTTTGGAAAAGAGCACATGAGGGACATGAGGTTGTGTCCAGTCTCCACAGTGAGGTTGCTGTGCTCCGTTGGGGTTATTCGAGGCATACGTGAGGCAAGTTATGGGACTCGAGAACATCTCTTGGTCCAGCCTGACTGGGAGACGTCCCGCTGGCCCCTGTCCGTAGCAGCTCAGAAGAGAAGTTGGTGTCGTTGCTCTGTTGGTGGAGGAAGTCCATCTCTTTGTCACTGATAAAGAGTTCCGTTTCGCCCCAGTCGGTCAGCGGCTCGCGGTCGCTGGACTCATTGTTGCTGCTGCCGCTGCTCCGAGTGGACAATGCAGGGTGGCAGTCAGCAGCAGTTGGTAGCATGAGGTTCTGAGCTGAAAGAGACTTACCGAGTCCACGCTCGACCTGTAGCGAAGCAGCTGCTGTGGAAGACATGAGCATCAGTGGATCAATGTCAAGGCTCAAATGTCTTCTCCAGGACCCATCTTCCTTGGAGTTGCGCTCAGGCTTGTCCCGAAGCTGTACCGTGCTTGGAATACTCTCAGCCTCCTTGTCTGACTCAACCTCGTTTTGGGTCCCCAGCAGGCAATTTGTCGGACACTCAGCCCGGCTCTCCTGTAGAGTCTCTGGGATGAGGCTGGTAGGCCGACCTGGAGGCGCTGGTACCATTGGCGGGAGCTGAAGGGTTGTTGAGGTTGAATGGACTGTTGGGACAGGCCTGGTTAACTCACTAAACCGCTGGTGGCTTCTGGAGAGGTTGTTGGGGGTGAGAATTGGAGGAGGGGATGATGGGTAGAAACTGTCTGGACTGGAAGGTTGGTTGTTGAGGAGAGGGGAAGGTGAGAAAGAGGAGGCTGAATGTGGGTAACCGGTACCCAAGTTGAGTTCACTAGGGGCCAAAGCAAGATGAAGACCGCGGTGCAGGTTACTGCTGCAGGAACGAGACACTCCACTACCGGTGAGCTGGGAGGAAGATTCCTTGCTATGGAGGGAACTTTGGTAGTCGGAGGTCTGATCCAGCTCAAATAGTGGCAAAGCAGACAACCCGAGCATCGAAGAGGAGCCTTTCTGCAACACCTGCCGGTATATATCCAGCAATGAGTCCAACTTTGACTCTATGGACTGGACCTGTCATATAAGAAACACACAAATCTCATTAAATTTTTTATCATTTTATGTTCATTATTGTTATTATTAGACCTGTGCTGAAAAATCTTCAATCTTCAATCTCTTCAATCTTCATTGATTTAAATTGATTCAGTTAAGATTTTAACAGCAGATGGCGCTCTAGGCTAGTTTTTAAGTGTATACTCAAACGCTTACAAGGAAGAGGGCTTGTGCAAAATTAATCTAAATCTAGCTCTATTAACACGGTTCAAGGTGTTTCAGCCTTTCAGGTTGGAGTGGAATCGATGGTGTACAGCCATTTTCAGATCTCTCCAAAGATGTTAAATAGGATTTAGTTCTAGGCTCTGGCTGGGCCACTAAAGGACATTCACGAGTTGATGTGAAGCCACTCCATTGTTACTGGAAGATGAACCGTCGCCCCAGTCTGAGATCAAGAGCACTCTGAAGCATGTTTTCATTCAGGATGTCACTGTACATTGCTGCATTTATCTTTCCCTCTATCTAGTCTTCCAGTTCCAGCAGCTAAAAAACACTCCCACAGCATGATGCTCCCACCACCATGCTTCACTGTGGGGATGGTATTAGCCTGGTGATGAGCAGTGCCTGGTTTTCTCTAAACGTAATGCTTGGCATTCACTCTGAAGAGTTTCATTTTAGTCTCACTAGACCAGAGAATTTTGTTTCTTATGTTCTGAGAGTCCTTCAGATGCTTTTTGGCAAATCCCAGGCAGAGAGTGGCTTCTGTCTGGCCACTCTACCATACAGGCCTATTTAGTGGATTGCTGCACAGATGGTTGTTCTTCTGTAAGGATCTCCTCTCTCCACAGAAGAACACTGGAGCTCAGACAGGGTGACCATCAGGTTATTAATCACCTCCCTGACTAAGGCCCTTCTCCTCCGATCACTTTAGGAAGATTCCTGGTGGTTCCAAAATCTTCCACTTACAGAATATGGAGGCCACACTGTGCTCATTGGAACTTTTAGAGCAGCAGATATTTTTCTGTAATACTGTCTCGGACGTCTACAGACAATTCCTTTGTCTTCATGCTTGGTTTGTGCTTTGACATGCACTGTCAACCTTGGGACCTTATATGTGCCTTTTCAAATCATGTCCAAACAACTGAATTTACCACAGGTGAACTCCAATTAAGCTGCTGAAACATCTCAAGAATGATCAGTGGTAACAGAATGTACCTGAGCTCAATTTAGAGCTTCATGGCAAAGGCTGTAAATACTTATGTACATGTGATTTTTCAGGGTTTTTTATTTGTAATAAATTTGCAAAAATTAAAAAAAATATTTTTTTTACATTGTCATTGTGTGTACAATATTTTAAGGAAATAAATTAATTTAATCCATTTTAGAATAAGGCTGTAACAAAAAATGTGGAAAAAGTGAAGCGCAATGAATACTTTCCGGATGCACTGTATTTTAGTATACTACTCTTCAAATGTTGGTTTGGTCTAATGTTTTTGAAAATGGTCCATCTGAATGTATTCATGACTCTTGCACTATACATACATTACATAATTTACATCTCGCACCATAACTATAACATCTTGCACCATAATTACATTGCAAAACTCTTGGAACTGGGACTAATCACATCAATTTAGTTTTGTATCATTTTGTTGAAACCAGAAAACAATAACTATGACAAAAGTATTAATTTATTTCCCCAATTTTCACAACATAAGAGTATGTTTCATTAGAATAGCAAGTTCGTATGGCTTACTTGTCTCTCTACTTTACAGACGCGGCCAAGCATGCTCATGTCATGCTCCAGAGACTCTCCTTCTGGGAGGATTTTCTCTCTGCCTTTTCTGTCCACTGAAATCTGGCCCTTGCCCAGTATCTGATCCACCCTGAGAGGAAACAAACAGCGATTTTGAGCATATGATGAGGATGTACACCTTTACACTGTTGTTCCTCAAGCTCGAGCATGGCACAGCAGGAAAAGGCTGGACTTCGGTTAGTGAATAAGAACTGATGTTAGTGCATCTCCATCAGCTACGTTTTCTGTTAAAAGACAGTAAGAAAGACATGTTGACATATATGTTTTGTAAATTATACAAGTACAGGACATTCAGAGCATTAAATGTTATTTGCTACATTTAAATATTGGCTGAATCTGATCTACCTTTACTAGTTTACATCTTTATGTAGTGCTAATCAAATGATTTTCATGCATATATGCATATTAGTTACAGCTTTCATAAAATATTTTAGATTTCTTGTTTCAGTATGTGATTCACTATTGCCAGGGGTTAGAAAAAATGTTTTATGCTTCCTTGTCTTTTTAATTTTGTCATGCAAGAACCATTTGAACAAACATTAATCAGGTGAACCAATCAGAGTATGTGCAACACAATTAATATTCATCCCCTGACTGAAAAATCACAACAATATTTTAATCAGTTTGGAGTCCAATGATGAAGATTATGTGTAATGCAATAAAAAAGAAGTCTGTCTACAACCCACATACTGTATATTAGTGGTTCTCAACTACCTTGAGATGAGATAAAAATCATGAAATATAAAAGCATTATTTAGAAAATACCTAATACTAAAAATATTTTCTTAAGTTAGAAGGAATGTTAGACTTAAAATTATTTAACCAGTTAACCTAACATTTTGGACTCAACAAAAATCAGTTTTGGAGATATTGACAGATTAGACATAAATTAAATAGTACATTTAAGACGGGTAGTCGAGCTCCAGACAAAGACTACAATTTATCAGTAATTCTTAGAGCATATGGCAGAGAGCATGAGGTTTCAGTGTATTATAAATGGCTAATGGAAAAGATGGGCTGTAGTTTCCATTCTGCGCTTAAAACAGTTTGGTGTAAAAATCTAAACAGTATATTTAGCAATCAACATTGGAAGAAAATTTGCCAAAACTGTAAACTTAATGTTAAAATGTTTAGGAGTACGCCTAATGCAATTTAAAATATAGAATTTTTTAAATTGGACTCTGAGTAGGTTTTTCAGGCTTGGGTTGACTCTGCTGAAGATAGAGATGTGAGAGCGAAGAAAAAGACTTGATGCATCCCCTTTGGTCCTGTTCTAAAATACAGGAATTCTGGGCACAAGGCACAATTACATTCAGGATGTTTCTGGATGCTGTTTTTCGATTTGTTCTAAACTATATGTACTGGGACACCTTCTTGTGTTGGGGTCTGGTGTGAAGATGTCTGAGTGGATTCAAATAAGTATTATGATTGGAAGACATATCATTATGAGGGGATGGTGTTCAGCAGGTCCACAATCATTTCAAGAATGGGTTACAGAATTGGGGAAGGTGACAGCATATGAAAAAATTACATACACAGTTGAAGTCAGAATTATTAGCCCCCCTTTGAATTTTTTTTCTTTTTAAAATATTTCCCAAATGATGTTTAACAGAGCAAGGATATTTTCACAGTATGTCTGATAATATTTTTTTCTACTGGAGAAAGTTTTATTTGCTTTATTTGGGCTAGAATAAAATCAGTTTTATTTTTTTAAACACATTTTACAGTCAAAATTATTAGCCCCTTTAAGCTATATATTTTTTGATAGTCTACAGAACAAACCATTGTTATACAATAGCATGCTTAATTACCCTAACCCCTCTAGTTAACCTAATTAACCTAGTTAAGCATTTTATTGTCATGTAAATGTACAGAAGTGTCTTGAGAAATATCTAGTCAAATATTATGTACTGTCATGATAGCAAAGATAAAATAAATCAGTTATTAGAAATGAGTTATTATAACTATTATGTTTAGAAATGTGTTAAAAAAATCTTCTCGCCATTAAACAGAAATTGGGGGAAAAATAAACATGGGGGCTAATAATTCTGACTTCAACTGTAGATTATTTGATAATTTATATGTTTATCAGAGAAGATAGGGAAATTATTTGGCATTTTTGGAGGATGAATAAGATCCCTGTGGTGAGACGCATAGTAAAAGTATAATTATCTTAGTTGATTTATGCATGTGTTATTATTATTGCATTTGCATTGCATTTTTTTGTTTTAGTTTTTTTCATTTTTCTTTACAATTATTATTTTCTGTATGTGTTTTATTTTGCTGAGTTTATATTATTTATCTGTATTTATGATAGCAACATCTAATTACTGTAACTGCTGCTGTTGGGGAGGGGAAATACCCATTAAAAAGATGTAAAAATGCGTAAACTGACTGTACTGTTAAATTATTAAAGAAAACTAAACATTTCATCTTAATTTAAATCTTGTTTAAAAGAAATTCTAATAAATGTCTTTCAATACTTACAGTAAAAATAGACTATAGTCATCAAATAGACAGGAGTAATGACTACAAATGTCTGTCTGTTATTTGATGACTAGACTATTTTGGACTTTTGTTAGATGTTTGTTAGATATTCACTGACAGCTCAAATCTTGTTTTAGCCAAGACGTTTTAACATCTTTTATATGTCTATTAAACACATATTTGCTTGGGTATAGGCAATGGTTTTTATATGGCAGCACTGCAGAGATTCTTTTTGGAAGCTTTATTTATACAGTTGTTTGTGTATGGATGTGTATAAACTGTGTCAGTTAAACAGTTTGAATAGTTTGAGCTATATAAATCATCACCATTGGACTCCTTGTGCAGAAAGAAGTGATTAAGGTGAGTAAAGCCCTTTGACTAAGTCCCCGAGCCTTCTAAAGGCCTCTGACCCAGCGTGTTTCTTCTTGCTCTGGCTGTAATACAAGTGTAGAGAAGGAGAGGAAAGGTTCCTGGCTTTGGTGCTGAGTGTCTGATGTGGACCCATGGCTGAGTTCAGTCTAAATGAGAGAACATACAGGGTCAAGAACAGTTTAAAGGCTGTGCCATCAAGGAAAGTAAGAAGAGAAAGCTGATGACAAAGGCAAGATAGAAGATAATCTGAGATACATGCAAGTTACCGATCATACATATTACAGATCACAGGTCAGTTACATATAACAGACATATATACAGACATATAACTGATCAAAACAAAAGTCTACATAATCTAGTTTAAACATGCTGGTACTAAGTCACTGTTTCAAAATCATCAGGTTTTCAAGGCTAAAGTTTATTCGTTCATTTTCTTTTCGGCTAAGTCAATACAATGCTACAGTCAGTTATTTTCCTTAGAAAAATTGCGTTGAATATCATTGTTTTTGGGCTATATAAGCCACCCACTTGCCAGTTTACCCAAATATATTTCAGAACCCCATGTTCCTTTGTAGAAAACACAGCATATTTAATTTCAGTCATGAAGGCTACCTAACCTCCAGAGGACATCAGCTGTAAAATTAGACACAGATTCCAAGTTACAGTATACAAATCCACATGAAGTGGTTTTTAATTAGCAAACTATCAGATATTACAAATGTAAGCATTAGCTAAGTAGCTCACATTGTAAGACTTGTTAGTTAGGTATGCTCACTCCTGTTGGTATTGTCAATCTGGCAACATGCATTTGGATCAAGTCGTCGGAGGGGGCGTGTAAAAAAAACAAAACCCTATCCAATATTTTAAATCCTACAGTATATATGGCACCTTTAACAATCAAGTTTTGGGACACAAATTTAAATAGGGAAAGCCTGGAGGACGTGATCTAACAGAAGTTAGTTGTATACACAGACACATTCGATCTGATAGCATGCATTGCATCAGTTATGCTGGTTTAGCACAACAAGCCAACCTTGTTAAACAGAGAGAGAGTTTAGCTTGATGAGAAACAGGAATCAAGGACAGAGAAAACAGCTTGAGGTTTTGGGTCAGTGACACGTAAACATCTACAGTGTCCAGCTGTGACTACAAATAAATAAAAATAAAAGTTTGGGGTCAGATTTATTTCAATATAATGAATATAATTTAGGTAACTTTATCTGATTTTAAAACATAATAGCAAGGCTGAGAGCTCATTACTTCAGTCTTCATTCTCACATGATCCTTCATAAATCAATATAATATTGTCTGCTTACATGATGCATAATATTGTCTGCTTAATATAAATTGCTTACATTTTTTTAAAATCAATATTTTGTAACTGTCATAACACTTAGTTAAATTAGTTTATTAATTGTTTTTAAATTTTTTATACTCTTCTTTTTTATTCTTGTTTATGTAAAACACTTTGAATTGCCACTGTGTATGAAAAGTGCTATATAAATAAACTTGCCTAGCCTTGCCTTAAGTGCATTAAATTTAATTAATCAAATGCATGCTGGCTGATCAAAAGCATTTATTTATATATAAAAAAGTAATTTGCAGAACCCAAAAATTAAGAGTAGCTGATGTTTTTCTTCCTTATTCAGAACATTTGCCTTGTTTTAAATGACATTAAACATATTTAAACATCTTTGAATGAGACTGCATAATGACCTGACCTTCATTACCACAGGACATAAACATTACAAAAGTGTCAGCTTTAAACAATATAAGCTATATATATATATATATATATATATATATATATATATATATATATATATATATATATATATATTATATATATGTATATATATAGTTTTTTTTCACACATACATTTTACTTCAAAACCTAAAATAGGATATTTTTAAGAACGTTGGAAACAAGAAACGTTAGATGTATTTTAACTGTTGTTAACAATATAACTGCTGATAAAAAAAATAAAAATATGGCAAAATGGCAAATTTCCATCAACCAATCTTATGCAAATAAAACTATCTATAATCTTTCACATAAAGTCATTCAAATCATGGCAAAAGAAATTAGGTTTATTCATTTCGCAATCAATGAATTAGCTATTATTTTCCCCAAAAGTAGACATATAGACATTATACAACCTTTAATGCCAAGGCATGTCTACGTACTTGAGAGTGGCCGCATATGTGTTTTTTTTTTCTGGAAGGTTATTATGAACTATTTCACAGGTGGCATTTTCTGTGTTGCTCTGAATGTAATATTGCTGAATTTTTTTAGAAGATCTCCAGTTCACCTTCATCTCACAACTACCATGCCATCCTTAAAGCAAACTTCATTCATTTATTAATTTTCTTTTCGGCTCAGTCCCTTTATTAATCTGGGGTCGCCACAGTGGAATGAACCGCCAACTTATCCAGTACGTTTTTACGCAGTGGATGCCCTTTCAGCCGCAACCCATCTATGGGAAACATCCACACACACTCATTCACACTATGTTCAATTTAGCCTACCCAATTCACCTGTACCACAATGCAATGTAAATGCAGCTACTGACATCAACATTATTAAAAAAAAGGTGAATGACTATCGGTTCCATTATTACTGGTAACATTCTTTAAAATATCTTCATTTGTTTAACACAATTTTTAACGCAGAATTTTCATTTTTATCGTTTTAAGATTGTAATCTTGAATTATGTATAGTTTCTTTGCCTCACTGACATTTTAATAATATAAATCTAATAAAATAAATGTAAAAAATAACCGAATGTAATAATTTGACAAGCAAAAGTTTACCAATGAGTCAATAAAAAATACTGATTGATTGATTGATTTAGTTTTTTTTTTTTTTTTAATCAAAAGTTTAAAATCCTTTGAAAGCTGGAACTATATTAATGTTCATGTCCAGAGTTAAAAGTCATGGTGGATTCAGACACACAACCTCAGCAGTTGACTTATATCTGAATGTTTCAAAGGTAAAGAAGCTTGCAGAGGGGAATTGTGGGTCTGCTGACCCTGGGGCAGAGTGTTTCCTCTTGGCCTGGCTGTAATACAAGTGGAGGGAAGGAGAGGAAAATGTCTTGGCTTTGCTGCTCAGGGTCTGTGGACCCACAATGGTGTCCAACCTGAATATGAGAGTGTACACAAAGAGATAAGACACACACGGATATCCAGATGAAGATGAAGTGTGCATAAAGAAAGCCAACTATTTTCTGTACAGTGCAGCACATTTTGATGAAAAATAATGTTTTTTTTTTGTGGGATAAAACATAACACTTTCAAAATAGAATTTAACAGATATAGAAATCTTGCATTTACCCTATACAACTGTGTCTGATTATTCTCACCTAGTCTGCAGACTCTTGATACGACATAACATATCTAGGTGTCCAGCGGAGTATTGCTCGATCACATCTTTCACATCATACGGCCGCAGTGTCTCCTTAAACTTCTTTTTGGCCACATGGAACTTCATTATCCTGACAACAATAATAAAAAAGAATTAAATTAAATGGTATATTACATTACATTATAATGTAAATGTGTTTGTTCAACCATTGATTAGTAAAATTAGAAACAAAAATAAAACATAATTAACTATAAAAATAATATATATATATATATATATATATATATATATATATATATATATATATATATATATATATTTATAAATATAAAATAAGAGTTTGGAATATGTATTGGTACTTTATTTATATATTTATTTTTTAGTCTGCTGGGTTTTTTTGTGTCAAAATCTGTTAGATCAAGAAATGTTTTTATGGCCATTGTTAATACCAGTAATTATTATTATCATCTGTAAAAATAGTATTAGTAGTGTTTAATAAAAAGTTGAATATAAAATCATAGTTAAATGTATTATTAGGTGTAAATGACTAAATGTAAATGTAAATGTAAATTTATTATCATTATTATTATTATTAGATAAATGAATATACAGTAGTCAACATTCAGAGTGAATCAAAAATGTTTTTCAAAATTGTTCTAGGACAAGAATGGGTGTGACTGTGTACCCATTACCGGGTCAGTAACATCATTTACTTGCACATTCTTTAAATTTTAAAGGTCCGTACTGGCCCAATACCCCCATAAGTGGTTCTGTTCTTTCACCAGTTGGAATAGAATAACTTTTGCAAAGATTATGATCATAATATTTACTTTTTTTCTATGATTACTGACATGTGCAGGAACCAACTAAATTAAGTATATCAACCTAGACCACACCGAACCTAAAAGGTACACTTTCGAATTTGAGTTTACAAAAAAAAAAGCCCCTCTTTTTTAGAGGGGTTTATTATAACACAGACAACATATACAATTATTTTAACCACTTTCAACAGTGTTTATGAAAATTCAAAGGGTTTTCTTTAAAATGATACAAAACTTTTGCATTTACACCGATTTGGGAAGCTTTTGAATTTGGGTAGGCAAAATCCAGACGAAAAGCCCCAAATAGCACTTGACTTTAAGAGGTTAATTGCTCAGGAATTTAATTTGTTAAAACACAAATCTAGTTCATTTAGAATCGAGTTACAGTCATTTTGTTAGATTTGATGTCACAAAACAAGCAAATCCCTCACAAAATAACCAAAAGTCAAAACATTACGTCGCCTCGTGGTTCCATCCCAAAGAGGGAAAAAATCACTTTCGCGAACGCTCACGCTCAATCTGCCCAGTTGGTGGAATGAACTCCCTAACTGCATCAGAACAGCAGAGTCACTCGCTATTTTCAAGAAACGACTAAAAACTCAACTATTTAGTCTCCACTTCACTTCCTAAGCTGCAATTGCCTCTTTGAATATCACACTAATTGTACAAAAAAAAAAAAAAAAAAAAAACTACTAACACTTCCCTTCTTAGACTTTACAGACCTGAAACTTGCCTTTAGTACTTATTCATTGTTGCTCTTAGTTGTGTAAATTGCTTCCTTGTCCTCATTTGTAAGTCGCTTTGGATAAAAGCGTCTGCTAAATGACTAAATGTAAATGTAAATGTAAACATTGCTAAAGTGTTGTCTTATAAAACTCTAAAACATGCCAAATTTTTTGTTATTTTTAAATAACTCAATTAACTAAAATGCCTGTATATGTGTATACCCTGGGATAAATGTCTCACACAATAAAATAAAAACTATGTTTAACTTCAAACACAAAACAAAACAATTTATCAAAAATCAATGCAGAGAAACTGCAAAAAAGTAAAGTGGCCCCTTATTTTTTCCTCAGTGCTGTGCATAAATAACCACTAGAGGGCAGAAAAGTGTCATAAATACCAAAACGTTTAATGACCCAGTGAAAAATCTGATCATATATACCTGCACTATATATATATATATATATATATATATATATATATATATATATATATATATATATATATATATATATATATATATATATATATATAAAACTGTTAATAATACCATTACTCAAGTAAGACTTGTGCTGAAGTAAAGCTATGTGTAATGGATGCCATTAGCTGTGTAAACACAGTTATTACCGCTGGCACACTGAAACCTAAACCTATGCGATGCATGACGTTCTTTAAAGTCAAGTTAGAACTGCAAATATTGACATTGAGAAGAACAAATCTCAGCAATCTGTCTCTGTAATGATACAGAGTCAAAGCTCTGTCAGATTTTCTTCTTGTCAGATGAGCTGGTGTGTAAGCAGAACTGACTGTGAACATGTCTATCTGACACCCTGGGAAAGAGGAGCAGCAAAAATCTCAGCTCTCCTTAGAGACCCAAATAATGTGGGCCAATCGAATTGAAAGAAATTACCTAAAGTAACATCAATGGCCTATAGCGATGTGTCTAATGTCTCAGTCATCAATGAGTGAAAACAGAACCTCTTGTTTATATCAGTTCCATCACAAGTAAACCTTCAATGGTAGATGATGCATTTGATTGGATTGTTTTGTAGTGTAATGCTGATGTTGTCAACTGTGATCAAACAACCACCAGCTACAGTACACAGCTTTGAGAAAGTTTCAGATATATATTTCTCATTACACGTGTACACTACCTGACAAAAGTCTTGTCGTTGATCCCAGTTATAAGAGCAACAGCTAATAACTTGACTTCTAGTTGATCCTTTGAAAAAAGTGGCAGAAGTTAGATTTTTTTAAATGAATTATCTGTTGGACTTCCTCCCAATCACCCCGATACTGCAGAAGACTTATTAGAACCACATTAGCACAGACCCAAGATTCTCACATAATTTAGTCAAGTTTGGTGAAGGAAAAATCATAGTTTGGGGTTACATTCATTATGGGGGCGTGTGAGAGATCAGCAGAGTGGATGGTAACATCAACAGCCTGAAGTATCAGGAGACATTTATGCAACTTATTACAAATCACAGGAGAGGGTAATTTCTTAAGCAGGATAGCACTCCTTATACTTCAGCCTCCACATCAGATCCTAAAAAATGGAAGTCAAGGTGCTCCAGGATTGGGCAGCCTAGTGACCAGACATGAACATTATTGAGCATGTCTGGGGTAGGATGAAGGAGGAGGTGTTGAAAATGAATCCAAAGAATCTTGATGAACTCTGGGAGTCCTGCAAGAACGCTTTATTTGCCATTCCAGATGACTTTATAAATAAGTTATTTGAGTCATTGCAGAGATGTGTGGATGCAGTCCTTCAAGCTCATGGGAGTCACTCACAATATTAATTCTTTTTCCACTGCTCCATGGCTTTATATTCTATACTGTACATTATTTCTGTTAAGTGACAAGTCTTTTGTCTCAGCAAAGTCACACCTTACTGTCCTAATTAAATAATTATAAATCAAGACATGATTATATTTCATTTGGGTAAAATAAGTGAGGCTTTTGCCTTTCATATAAGCCTGATACCAAATGATCAACTAGAAGTCAAGTTATTATCTGTTGTTCCTAAACCTTAAGACTTTTGTCAGGTAGTGTACGTACATTTTATGTTTATATACATTATTTGGGCTTTATATAAGCAATATGATATAGTTTGTTATTTCCACTTTTGTGCACACTTGCAAAATAAGTAAAAAAAAACCTCTCTTTAATTCCTCTTAAGTAAATTAAAACTCAATGTAAAATAAATCTGAAAAGGAGTATTTTTACCCTTGGTACCAAACTCAACATAATATTTGTGCTGTTTGATATTTAAACTAAATGTCTCAAAAATGATTATGATGAACCACTAAACAAAAACTTTTTTTATTGTGCACAGTGTGAATTCTCTGGGAAGTGGAACTCTCACCTGATGGCCCTGATCACTGCCTTTAGCGGAGCTGACAGATCTTCTACTGTCACATCACAGTGGCAAGCCTTATCATCAAAAGCATCATCCGGTCCAAGAGTGGTGTCAGCTGTGTGAGAGAGGGAGAGAGAAAAGGAAAGAACCAATGCATATCAAGCAAAAATTGTTTTGCTGCACATCCTTAAAATGGGTAAAACAAAACTTGGCTGAATAGCAGAGATAGCCAAGGGCAGATCAATACAGCTATGAACCAAAATAGCATTCAAAGCAAATCTTTTCCTTGACCCCCCTCACACTGGCCTAAGGCCAGACCACTGAGCTTTACAACACCCAAACTGAAGCAAGCATTCACATTTAGCTGAAAGGCAACAAAATGGCTGTTCATCAAAAGACAAATAATAAAAAAAAATATATATATATAAATAAATAAACTGCAAAGTTTCGATTCATCATGTAATAGGTATACCTAGTCAACTGTTTAGTATTGCAAATATCTAATCAGCTAATTACATAGCAGAAACTCAATGCAAATAGGCTTGCAGACATGGTCAAAAAAGATCTGCTAAATTCTAACCTGAGCATCAATATGTGGAAGAGAGGTCATTTAAACTACTGTAAATGTGGCATGGTTGTCGGTGGCTTGAAAATAAAATACTGCTGATCTACTAGAATTTTGACACAAAACACTCTCCAGGGTTTACAAAGAAATGTCCAAAACAGTAAAAACATTCAGTGAACAGCAGTTTTGTATGTGAAAATGTGTCAAACCTTGAAGCCACAAATCTCAACGGGTGCTACTTTTTTAAGCTAAGAATAAGAAACGAAGACTACAATTTGTACAGGCTCGACAAAATCGCACAATAGAAGACTGAAAAAGGGAAGCCTGGTCTGATGAGAATTCTGTAATGGCATTTGGATGGTAGGCTCTGAATTTGGGGCAAACAACATGAAAGCATGGATCCATTCTGCCTTATATCAAGAGTTCAGTCTGCTGGAGGTGGACCAGAGTGTTTCCACTTTGTGATGCTACTCCAAGCAGGATCATCTGCCATGCAAAGCTCTGATCATGGCAATGTGGCTTTTTGAAAATGGCACAGTGAGTTTTTAGCGAGGATTCACATAGCCTCCACAATCACTAAATCTCAACTCAATAAAGCACTTTTGAGATGTGCTGGAATGGGAGATTTGAATCATGGATGTACAGCTGACAAATCTGCAGTGACTATGTGAATTTATCAAGTCAATGAGGAGCAAAATCTCCATGTTTCTGGGACAAAGAGTACCAAATAAAGTGGCCAAACAGTTTTACTAGACAGACGAAATATCTAAAAATGAAGCTTGTACAAGAGATTGAATTCTTCCATTTAAACGCTGTTATGGCTGACCCCATCTGCACTAAATCGCAGATAAATGGCAGAGGAAGAGAGATTGCTATCGAAATGTGTGTAATTTTCTGCTCCCTCGTATAGGCTATGTTCTGTTGGGGATCTATAGTGTGTTAGATCTCAGTGTGTGTGTTCGCACAGCAGGTATGGGGCTCATTTTGGGCTGATGGGTCTCATACTGGGCTTATGTCAGATCACTGCTGCAGAAGCACTACCTCTGCAAAATCCTATAGAGGTAGCTTTGTAAAAATGTACTTGATTGGGAATTCTATAATAAATCCCATGATACTACAACAACAAAAACATGTCCATGAAGTATTGGAGGGTGACTTAAAGTAGTGAATCATTATTTAGTAGCATTACAATAACAGCTTTTTTTTAAATAGGTAATTCTCACTGAAGTGTTAGATAAATGCAACACATGTCAGGATATGTCAGCCAAGTGTGTTACCCTATTGGTTACTTTTGCCAACTGAATTTAAAACAGCATTTGAATAGAATCTAGTCACTGTCAGTATTCATCTATGTCTATATGAGCACTGTGAATAACATCTAAAATGCTACATTTTTTTTTGTTTAAAAATGTACAGACTGTCCTAAAGACTCAAAGTGAAATGTGTTCATTCATTTTAGTGAATCAGTTCCTTCAAATGTAAATCCTGTTGTATACTGTTCATGATTTTCCAGGATTTTTAAGGTATGTTACAGGCAGCATGGTTGCCAGTAAGGTACTGTATATGTTCAGTTACTGTCATTCACTTTACTGTATTTTTGCATTTAGCATTGCATCTTATTATTAAATCTAGAGCAAAATCTAACAGTGAACACAAAAAGTGAATTATTCTTCCTCATGGCTTATCTATCCAATTATCACATTTAACTTGATCACTTTTGATTAACAGTCCAAATGAAGCCCTGGTAAATCTGTATTTTATCACTGTACTAAGTTTAGCTAAAGATTCCCTAAACTATCTCTGTCACACTGCCTGTGTTTTATTTCCCCATGGGATCATTGATACTGTCAGTCCATTGTGACTAATGTACAGGACTCAGTCAAAACTGAATATCCTGCTATAAACAACGTCTCTATGTGCTCTGCTCTCTTTCTCCCTAAGGGACAGTCTGGTGCAGGGAGACTGAGCCAAGGTTAACCAGAGCAAACAAGGGTCCCATGAGAGACCACATGCAGCCTTTAAATCCAGTCTTCAAGGAAAAGCTAGAAAAACACCAATTACATTAAGGTATGTAGGGAAAGACTTGGTGTGAATACTACAAGAACATTGTAAATAAAAATAAATATATATTTTATTGTTCTTACAGCAATATTCAACATTTTTAAACAGTTTTAAATAGTATGTTTTTAAATATTTAATCATTTTTTGTAAACCAAATAAAAAAAATCTACTGTAGGCATAATTATTAACAAAGCAAATTAAAAACAAACAAAGCATGTTAAGTAGCTAATAAACACAATACACATGACTTATAATGGTCTTTAGAAAAACATTATAGGGTTTGGAATGACATAATTTCAACATTTTGATCTGGTTTAATAAGCTAATGAGAACCTTTACAAATCTAAATCTGTAACATCCTATTTCAGTGTCCTCACTAATTTACAATGCTGATTGTACTGTGTATATAGTAATTTAGTGATGGCACCTTAAAGACTCCTCTTATATGGAGAATGAAGTCACATAAATTGCTAAGGTGTGCGTTTTTCACAGACTTCGAAAGAGTTTAAAAATCTTGATGGTTCTGTGGGTCTTGTCTATCAAATCTGAACTTTATTTTGTATTTTTTATTGGATTTAAGTCAGGTGATTGACTGGGCTATTCTACAGCTTGATTTTCTTTCTCTGAAACCATTAGAGAGTTCCTTTTTACACCTCCCTTTCTTCATGTGTTTAATACTTTTTTTCCTGTGTCATTTATTTTAATACACATAACTTCATTTTGTAAACTAATCGTTTTCATTTCATAAATGGATTTCTTGGTTGTTACATCTGGTTAAAATTTCAAGTCAGCAGCAACTGTAGAAATATGTTTTCTTAGAAAAATGGTGAGGTTTTGAATACTAATTCCCCACACTGTAAGTGTATGAGCATTACTGCATTTAATGTATGACCATTCTACTTTAATGTATCAAAATGTCCAAATAAATATGTAAATAACATATTTATGTAAAATGAAACGGTCCCACTTTATATTAAGTGTCCTTAACTACTATGTACTTACATCAAAAAAATAAATACAATGTACTTACTGTGTTTATAATGTATTTGAGAACACTTGTGGTGCTTTTGAATTGGGATAGAGGTTAGGTTATGGACAGGTTTGGTGGCATGGGTAGGTATAAGGATGGGTTAAGGTGTAAGGGATGGTCAACAGTGTATTTACAAATGTAATTACAAAAGTTAATTACAGATAATTACATACATGTATTTAATCAAGCATAAGTACACAGTAAATACATGTATTTACACAATAAGTACATTGTAACAAACTTAATTGTAAACTTAAAATTAATTCCTGTGTAAGTACATATTAGTTAAGGCCACTTAATATAAAGTGGCACCAATAAAACATACTCACTCAGAATTTTTAATATACAAATAAAAAGTAACTGTATTCTTTGAAAGAAAGAAAGAAAAAAAGAAAGAAAGCTAAACAGGACATATTCTAATGCATGCCAAAAAAAAAAAAAAAAAACAGAAAGAAGAGAAAACAGCTGTATGAAACACATTTTCTGCTGATGCTTTGAAACCCCCTGTCCTCTTTGCCCCAATTACAGTAGAAGTGGAACACCTGTAAATGGGCAGAAAAAAAAAAAAAAAACCTTTCACCTTCAGTCGTTGTGCGTGACTGGCTCTTGAGCCTGAGCGACGGTCGAAAGCGTGTTCGGTCATTGAAGCTCCAGCTCTTCTGGACCTTGGCTGGACTGCTGCCCTCCACTGCCACCTCTGTGCCAGGAGAGCGCCGGTCGTTAACAGACATCTGTCTGCTCTTTACACTCTGACCACGCGGGCTGGCCATGCGCACTCGCTCACGGAAACTTAACTTTTGACTGCAGATAAGAGGATGAATGGAGTAAGATGGGAAATGGGGAGGGAAAAATAAAGAGAGAAATAAATGCATATGGAAAAAAAATAGGTATTTCAGTAAAAGTTGGCTTAATTTGGACTTATCTGGTTATGCTTATTTTAGACACAGTGATCTGACAACATTTATACATTTTATTAGTTCAGTTTCTACTAAATTCTGTAGGTAAAACAATATCATATTTCTTTATTTTTTAAATCTCATATGCTCAACAAGACTGCATTTATTTGACAAAAATACAGTAATATTGTGAAATATTATTGCAATAGAAAACAACTGTTAGCTATTTGTTTATGCATCCCTCTGCTGGCACAGCTGGATTTTCAGCATCATTACTCTACTCTGTCACATGACACTTTAGAAATCCAATAATATACACATTTGGTGCTCAATTAAAAAAAAAAAAAAAACGTTATATTATTAATAATGTTGAAAATTGTCTTGCTTAAAATATGATTATATACAATTAAACAAATTTAAAAATAAACATAACAGTTTTTAATATCAACTCTGATCAATTTTAAAGGTGCAGTATGAAGGTTTGACACCAGGTGGTTGAACTAAGTATTACATTCCTGGATCAAAACAAATACAAGCACAGGTTGCCAGCTGACCAACATTGGCGAGTCTCGAGCCTGCAGCTGATTTAAATTGTGTTCTATATAAAAGCATGCGCACGCGCACACGACACCTCAAACTAATATTTTAGAAATGGAATCAATTTCCCACAGGTGAACAACAGGAAAAATATACAATGATCACCCCAGGTACACCTTATGTGCTTTATTCAGTGTTGAATGCTAAAAATGTAAGTTAAATGCCATTTTACATCACATTTACTGCCATACAGCTGAAAACAGCAGCAGATAATTTACCTCAGATCTTTAAAATAAAACAAATCATTTGAAATTGAATTTTATAACTGTGAAATAATGCAAACCAATGCATATCAGTGATTCAGCACCTACATTTAATAATGATAAAGAGGCTTAATATGTATTATTTAGATTATAAACCTTACCCTGTATTTAATTTTCTGTCGTGTTTCGTCTGGTGCAAACAGCTAAATTGCTTATCACTGCACATCTCATCATGTAACGTGTTGTTAGGACACAGGGTTACAAAGTAACCTGCTCACTTAATGTTTACACTAATATTTATATTATTTGGCAATTAATAACTTCATGTGGAACTCTGAATCTGCGTCTCATTTCAGTCTGCTACTGTCCACCGGAGGTTGCATTTCGGTCATGGACGCATACTTTGAAAACCTTTTTAAATGAAATACGCTGTTTTCCAACCAGGCGTTTCAGCACGTAACAGACATTTTGAGAGCAGAATTTCTGACTTAAGCTTTTTTTTTTCAGATAAACAAGAAAGTTTACTTAGCATGTTTCTTAAATATCTGCTAACATATTATGGTATTTTTAGGCTTTAGAAGAGTCAAAAACTTACAGCACCTTTAAGTAAACTTTTTTTTCTTCTTTTTTTAATCTGGAATAAAAATAAATGATGTTATGCACCAAATTTGACTTTCATATTTAATACTGATGATCATGTGACATTGAAAAGGCTTTACCAACAATGTAATAAAGGTGTAATATAAAAAGAAACAAACTGCATTTTAGATTTTTTAAATGCTGCCTTGCAGAGCATAAGAAATGTTTTTAAAAACATTAAATGTGAAATTATTTCAAAATATTGGACAAATGGTGAATTTTCATTTTCTTAATTACTTTAGATAGTCTTCATAGTTTGAAAGTAAAAGTTATTTGCCTATATCGGTTCCTCAAAAGACCATCATGCAACATAAATCCCATTCCAAAGCTTCCACCAATCAGCAAGCAACATTTTGAAGCATGACTTTTTGAACATCCTATTCTTTCGTTTGCTGTTCTGTATATTCTTTAGTTGCTACCTTCAACGTGGAGCAGCCAGACATAATTTCCATAAGGATTATCATAGAACTGACATATATTTTTTTAAAATACAAAACATTTTCCTACAATGACAACTACATGAGCTGGGGTTCTTCAATCATGTCTGACTTATATCCATTTAACCAAGTATGCTTCGGGTTCATGCTTGGTTGTTTGTGTGTGAAAGAGATGTAGAAGAGAAGAGTGAAGACATGATGCTATATGAAGGTAAAAACATTCATAGTTTTCAGTCACGAGACCTGAAGGGCAAAACACCCAAGCCACAAATATTCAGAAGAAAAACAAATAAAGTGGAATTTTTGGGTACTTGCACTGCGGATACAGCACCTGCTCTAGTACTTTAAGCACAAAAAACAGTGAGAATGCTTAATGTGGCAAGGCTTAACATAAACAGTGTTGCTAAAGGGTTAAATTAAATACACCTAATGATGCACACTATTTATAGGCAAGCAGATGAAAAACTGTTCTGAATGCTTTAAGCTGTAATAAGCATTTTATAATGGTTTTAATGACATCTTTGTTACACGTTTCATGTTCTTGCAATTACAATTAATTATGCATAATTACATACAACTAACCTTAAACCTAACCCGCATCCTAACCCTAAACATATTGTAAGTACATACACTCGCCGGTCACTTTATAGGTTTATAGGTACATCTGCCAATTTGTATGCAAATTTCTAATCAGCCAATCACATGGCAGCAACTCAATGCATTTAGGCATTTAGACATGAAGACAATCTGCTGCAGTTCAATCCGAGCATCAGAATAGGGAAGAAAGGTGATTTAAGTGACTTTGAACGTGGCATGGTAGTTGGTGCTAGATGGGCTGGGCTGAGTATTTCAGAAACTTCTGTTCTACTAGACTTTTCTGGTGTTGGTGTAAGGGTGTTGGGGATATTTTTGGACACACTTCGGACCCATTAATGCCCATCCCTTTATGACCAAAGTGTGCCAATCTTCTGAGGGCTACTTCCAACAGTGTGAATCATCTCAGACTCTTGAACATGACAATGAGTTCACTGTACTCAAATGGCCTCCATAGTCACAAGCTTTCAATCCAACAGAGCACCTTTGGCATGTGGTGAAATGGGAGATTCGCATCATGGATGTGCAGCAGACAAATCTGCAACAACTGTGTGATGCTATCATGTCAATATGTTATGTCCAGTACCTTGTTGAATCTATGCCATGAAGGATTAAGGCAGTTCTGAAGACAAAAATAAGTCCAATCAGTAAGGTGTACCTAATAAAGTGGCCAGTTAGTGTATAATTAATATTACTCAGATGAAAAATTAATTCTTCACTAAAAGAAGTTTAAAACAAAGTTTAATATAAAAATGTCTGTTTTCTACTAACACCTCAAACACTATTTTTTTTGTTTGTTTTGAGAGTGAGACAATATCTGCAATATCGTCAACTGATTTCACATATAATTTGCCTGTGTATGTAAATTTCAGCACAACATATTGTAGAGCAATATTCATTTCTTTAATTTTTCCTTGTTTGATGTACAGGTAATGACAGTTGATCTTTGTAGCACTGTATACTTTAACTGAACCAAACCTGTCAATTGTGAAAACACCTATAATATTACTGATTTACAACATTAGTACTTGGTAAAGCCTTGATAAATATGAATAGTGACTTTGTTTTGCCCACCAGGTCCAAATTCTTATAAAAGTTTGACATTACTATGAATAATACTATAAACTCGATCTCACTGCAATTTGTAACTTTTTGTTTTAGTGGCTAATTTGTATGAATTCGTACAATCTCATTCATACAATTTTAACATGATTTTAATATGATTTGCTTATCCACCAATGGCAGTTGGCATTCTTTTTAAATCATACATTTTTGCATGACTGAACTAGTGCGAGTACATACGAATTAGCCACTAGACTGTCAAAACATAAAATAGTTACGTTTCCTTGTGAGATCAGGCTGTATAAACTATATAAAGTGTCCGATTTCATGCACATGCAACATGCAAATTTATGACTAATGTGCTTAATATGTGGGATGCACACAGATATATATATATATATGCAGCATAGTCATAAATATTCATAACTGAACTGAACCCTTAAAACCATTTGATATAATCACTATAGTCCTGCAAAGTATTACAATATGAGATGTCGGAAGAATGGTGATTTAAAGTGAACGAATCTTAGAAGCTCTGCATTACTTTTTACTCTACATGGATGTTACATTTATTTACATTTATACATGTATTGGTGTTTTCATTTATCTATGCATTGGGATTAGGAGTGTAGGGAGTTAAATTCTTCAGGCAACATTCACAAGAGCCTAACATTAGACTCTCTGTAAGTACTCTGAGGTGGCTGTCACCATCACCATCATCATCATCCATGCATAAGGTTAGTCAGCATTCACATTGGTCATATTGCTGGAGCAGTGGGGGATGCTGGATACCTATATTTCCGTGTGGTATACCTCCTGAAGAGCCTCTGTCTATTACTATGACCCTTACTAAGGAAATGAGGGAGACAGATGGTAGATGAGTTAGTCAGACGGTGAGCAGAAACGACTTCCTTAAGTGGAAGAATAAAGTGGATGACACAACACAGAAACAGACTCTCTACTTGGGGTTAAAAGTGGAGCAAAATGCTAAATTAATTCTGTGTTTGAGCGACCAAACACGGTTACAAAGAGTTTAATTAATTATGTTTTGAAGGACTTCATAGTTGCACCACAAACACACACACACACCCATGCTTGAAGTATATTTGCATAGACATGTCAAGCAATCAACAAACTTTGACAAACTTTTTTGGATTTGCTGGTAAATTTTCCATTTTCGTTCTGTAAATATTTAACTGATTCAACTTTAAGCAGTGCAATATGGATTTGTGGATTATGTTGCTTAAAGACTGAAGACTAATGCTCTTCCATGAACAAGATTGCAGAAGCTAAACTAAAAGTGTTTGCTGTAATGTTTTAGCAATTTGAAAGTTCATTTTCCATCATGCTTAATGACACATTTGCCACACACTGAGGGTCTTTTCCAACTGTAAATTACTTCATTTACGTCTGAGTGCTGCTGCTCTGCTTTTCACACATTTAATATGAACCGTGCAAACATCCAATTCCAGCACTAATTGAAAGTGTGAAGATATAAACATGAAAAAAAAAAGACTTTGGTGCAATCGTTATTTACAATCACAGAGCAATGCGCTCCACCCCTGCTGAAATGACATGGAGGTAAAAACACAAACGTCACCTTCCTGACGACAAACATCTGACTACACTACTGCCCTGCAGATGCGACAGTCTTTAATGTGTCTAAACATAGTCCAGTATTGTGTACAAACATGCAGGGTTCTAAATGTCAAGCTAAGTCTAGAACTGACTCACTGTTTCTTACTGGACTTATTGATGAAAGGTATTTAAAGAGAGGTGGGGGGCTTTTATGGGGGAAAGATAAAGATGAAAAACAGATCTTAGTGCATTTATGATTGTAAAATATCTAACGGGCAATATAAACAATCTCCGAATGGAAAAAGTGCATTATGTTTATGTCCATGTATACAGAAAAGCACACACACAGACACACACGCACGCACACCGCACACACACAATATCTAGTAGAGATGAACACTTTCACTTCATTTTCATTTTCACGTTGTTTTTTTGAATAGAAGTTAAAGCTGCTCCACATCTAAAATGCTATTCTGTGACTTTTGCTCCATGGAAACTCCATGTAAAACTTTCTGATTCTGATTGGACAATTCCATCCGAAGCAGTAGTGAAACTAAATTACTAAACTGCACATTTGTCTTTAGTTCTAAACAAAATACCAATGATATATTTATGTTTAACTCAACACTATGTGCTTTCTCTCAATAATTTATTTCAATATAATATAAATCATTTTATATATAGCACTAATGAGAGTGCAACAAAGTTTATTTTAATAACATTATTCATAATAATAATCATTCAAAATAATATAAGGTTTTTTTTAAAAACACTGTGAGGTGAGTTTAATCATTTTAATGCTGCATTTGTTTGAAAAACACAGTAAAAAAACAGTATGAATTTTGTATTTACAATTATTTCTGTGATTTAAGCCTGAATTTTCAGCAGTATTACTCCAGTCTTCAGTGCTACATGTTCCTTTATTGAATATAATATGGTGATTTGGTGATCAAACATCATTTCAAATGATCGTTACAGCTATAAACTGTTTTACTTTAATGTGTTTTAATTTTTTGAGGAATATAAACTTCAAATGAACATGAACTATTTGTAGTATTTGTAGTGGTTCAAATACTATTTGTAGTAGTTCAATTTTCTATAAAATAATTCTGTCAAATATTACTACTTTTAGTTCAATCTTATTTTATACATCACTGTGTTTCTTTCTGTTTAAGTTTACATTCCAGTTCCACCCCTTAGCCCTTCTCCTTACCCTAAATTCCTAAAGGCTGATTTATACTTCTGCGTCAAACGCACGCGTATGCTACGGCGTTGACGCATAGCCCTTCGCCGTGGCCCTCGGCATCGCTGACGTGCACCTCTCAAAAAATGTAACTACATGTCGCAACAATGCGTAGTGCAAGTTCTGTGATTGTTCGGCTTGGTAGCGATGACGAGTCTAGGCGGGACTGAGAGCCGCGCGAATGGCACGAGCCCAATGGAGCGATTGTTTACAAGTGTGGAGTCCCGTGTAGGAGCTCTGGATGGAAAGTTTTGTTTTGTGTTTACCTCATGGTTAAAGTTGTTGCACGTCTGCCGGTTTGAGCGAGTTTGAGCCACTTGTACATCCAGGAAGTGTTCAGGAAAAGCAAAACAGCAGCGAAGAAACTCGACAAAGAGGAACATTTACACCTCTCTGCCAACTAGCGTTTCGGAAGTGTTAATGCAGACCAACAGAGAAAGCGCGCAGAAGTATAAATGCACAGCTACGCGCATTGCATGCGCCATGTGCTACGCCGGTCACTTGATGCAGAAGTATAAACCAGGCTTAATTGTCCCATTTCCCTTGAAGGTGTAGGGCTAAGGGGAAGGGCTAGATAGCCATTGAAATGGAGATCTTCCAGGACCACACTAGAAGCCAAGTGGTATGAAAATGTCCCAGAATACAGCAGCTACAATGGCAATATGGCTGCATACGCGAGTCAGGATATGCACAAATTAGTATTTTTTGGCATTATTAAGAATTTTTACAATGAACAAGCACATATTTTATTACATTCATGAAGCCGTTTATGTTTTACGCTTATGCTTTAAAAAACGCTAAACTTTGCTTTTTATAATAACTCTTGTACAGTAGTCACTTTGACTAGTCCTTGATACCAGATGCCTGCCTTCTGACCACTCGCCTGTTATATTGACTACGAATCTAGATTTCCCTGTATACATCTGTTTGCCTGTGTTGACCGTTGCTTGCCTGGGCATTCTACTGAATAAACCTGCTTTGGATCCGCACCCCTGTTGTCAGCGTCACTTTACATTACAGATAACAAGACTCAGCAACTTCTGTGTGTTTGTGTGGTGTATAAATAGTCCAGTAATCATTCCATGAGCAGCATCAGCTGTGGGAGTGTAATCAGTGGAGACTGAAACTCATTTTTGAAGCTGCGCCATGGCCATGAGATCTGAACATGTATTCAAGCATGTAGACTGGACGTCTGTACCTGGGAGTACCTATTATGTCTCTGAGTGTGCTGCATTCTTTCACGAGTAAGACTTGATTCAAACCAATCAGCGCGCTCTATTGTTTATGCGGTGCAGCTTCATTAATATGCATGATAGCTTCGAAGTTTTTGCCTGAAACACTTTCAGATGGCAGAGAGACGACACGTTGTGTTGCCAAAACAAGTGGAAAAAGAAAAAACAATTGTTTGGAGATACAGGTCGTCAGTGTTGTTTTTATAAAATGCTGCAGTGAAGGTTTTGTTTTCATTTTCCAGCTATGAGAGCACAACTTTACTCACATTTGGATCAGTGCACGCGACGCGCGGCAGAAATACGTTTGTACAAAACATTTTTTACTTGAGAGCTTTTCGCATCTGGAAATTGTGGAATCCGGATTTGCTGCCCGTCTCCTTTAAAAAGAGATGTGGCTCTAATTGGTGTTGATTGTCCTGTCTCTACAGATTTGGTAAGTGTGTGCGATCAGTGCCCTTTCTTTGTTTATTCAGATGGCAAAGTTATAGTTCGTATCATCAGCAGTACCCTTTCAGTGTTTAAAGACAGACCTTAGTCAAAATGATTTCTAAGTTACTTAGTTTATGTTAATATCAGTACAATATTATGGACTGAAAGATCTGCTGTAAATGCTGCTTTCCGAGTGTAAACGTGAACACTGCAAGCAAACTATTGCCAACTGTCGTGTTTACGTTTTGCCGCATTTTGTGACAGGAGGCTTTCTGACCTACCGAGTGCATCTAAGTTACCGAGAAATGTAAAGGTTTTTTTCTCAGTCACTGTCTTTCTCTCCTGCGTGTGTGTTTGTTTTGGCTTGGTGAAAATCAATGCGTGCCCAAATGGACACACCCATTTTTATTCAAATCCTTTCCTTTTCCCTCCCCCGACACTCCCACCTAAACAGAGCTAGACACACCCACTTTCCTGACTTTTTCCAAACTAGAGGTGTGAAAATACCCTGCTGAAACAGGGGGTTTCATGGCCCTTTAACTAGAAAGGTGATAAACAGTTGTTTTGAAGCTTGTAGCTCACAATGTAGCTTACATCGGCACCCTGATTGATAAATTTTGCAATAAAGAAATAACCATTATACTTACCACATATACTATAAATATTACATCAAATAAAGTAAAAACAGTGAGAATGAATGACAAAGTAAGACATGTAACATGCCATGAATGAATGTACTTAATTCGTCTCCCTATTTCCATTAAAAACACAGGTAACACTGGAGAAAGTTAAACAACAAATACAAGAACAACAAACCTGCTGATGGATTCCCCCTGGTCTTTCCTTCAGGTGTTAGTTAAAACAGAGAGAGAAAAGAGGCAGGATATTAACACTTCACATGAACGACACAAACTACTAAAGGAGACTACAGAAGAGACACAGAGGCCTCAGAAATATATCGAGTGCTGGTAATGACACCAATATATTTCACTCCGTGTCACACAAAATTCAGTTTAAATGTAAAAAAAGAAAAAGAAAAAAAGAAATGACACGCACACACGCACATACATTAAGTATAGGAAGAAACTGAGAGCTTTTTTTAGACAGGCAGCAAACAAGCAGACGTGCAAGCCACGAGCGGTGCATAGACAAGCTGACTAAGAAGAGCACTAGCAGAGGGACAGCTGTGTTATCTGTGTGTAATTACTCAAGAATTGGTGGATTGCCTTAATATAACAGCACACTCATTTGTCAGCGCATTGTCTGTCTGCAATACTGTCCTGGCTTCTGTTTGATGTGATTTATCTGTTCTGGGCAACGTGGGGGGAAATTTCGGTTTCAGCCACAGGATCAACACGAGGAAACAGGTGTGAGTCTGTGGCTTGCATCCAAACTGAAACTTTCGAAGGCTTCAGTTATGCTGAAGGCTTTAGTTTAAAGTGAAAAACTGAATCTTGCCACACACGTGGCTGTGTAGGAACCTGTAGTGAAAATGTGTTCTTACTACATTAAATTCATAAGAACAATTTTAACATTTTTTTACTCCTAAATTTCAATAAACGTACAAAGTACATATTTTGCTGATCATTATTACTTATTCTTTTTGTCATATTCATCTTGCTGAGCTAAAAAAAGAATCAAAACCCTGATGGACTCTTTTCACAAGACTGGCATGACACATTTAACAGTCATCAGAATCTTAAATCCTTGATAGTTTTTAATATTTTGTTTACATTTATGTGTATTTCTGCATGTATTTTATCGTCTTTGCATCGAGTTATAAAAAACACATCGCTTGTGCGAGGTGTTTCTAAGCAGCAACTATGGGGCAGGACAGTAAATGTGCTGTTTTTTTTTTTTTCTGGTTGCTATCACATAATTCATAATTCTCAAATATATTTTTTTCCCTTTTTCTGAAAGTCCATTGTGGAGTATTTATTTAATTATTTTAGAAAATAGGATTGTAAAAAATATATTTGTTGTACTCTCCCATTCTCTGCGCTCTAAGTTTACCCAACTATGGCGACTTCCGCTACAGAGAAACCCGGAAACATGAAAAGGGTCTATTACTCTAATTACACAATCAAATGTTTCAGAACAGAATGATTTTTTAATGTTTTTTTTTTTTTTTTTTTTTTTAAAGAAGTCTGTTCTGCTCAACGATCCTGCATTTATTTGATCTAAAGTACAGTAAAACTGTAGACAATTGCTACATATTTCTTTATTATTTAAAGTAACTTCTGAATATATTTTCAAATGTAAAGCTAAGTCATTTCAAAGCTGAATTTGAACACCATTACTCAAGTCTGACTTCAGAAGAATCTTCAGCTTTCAGAAATCATTCTAATTTAATGTTTTGTTGGTCAAGAAAAGTTTATTGCTATTATCATTATCAGAATAATTGCTTTAACATTTCTTATGAAATTTTTTTGATGATTACAGAGATAAAATGATCATTATTTATCTGGAATAAAAAGCTTTTGTGACATCATAGGTATATTATTACATTCAAAAGCTTTGAGGCAATATCTATATCTATATATCTATATATATATATATATATATATATATATATATATATATATATATATATATATATATATATATATATATATATATATATATATATATATATATATATATATATATATATATATATATTTTTTTTTTTTTTTTTTGGTAAATTTATTATCAGAATTAAGATGTTTCTTTAGCAACGATACTTTAAATATATCAAAAGTGAAGATAGATATTTATAACACCACAAAAGATTTATATTTCAGATAAATGCTTTGCTAGTAAGTCTTCAATTCGTCAAAGAAAAATCTACTCAGCTGTTAGTGTTTACAACATAAAAATTATTTCAAATATAGGTTTGATGAGCAAACTTTAAAAAAAAATAATAAATGTTATAAAATGTTTGAATGGTAGTGTATTATACATTGACAAAATATTCATTTTTAAAATTCAGATTTTTTCTATGACTGAAGTAATAAAGTTGTGTATATTTTGGATGGCCTTTGGTTAATTAAGCTAGAGGCAAGTGTGAACATACATGTCTATTTTAGTCTGTCTAAAAACAATAACATTTTCATTTATTCAACAGCGCTCAGTTTTTTTTAAAGATTCAATTTGTGCTTATTGCATTGTAAAAAAAAAGGCCCCTAAAAATACACAATTCTAAATTCATTATGATTACAAGTATAATCTTGTAGGTGCCCCTCAAAGGAGATATAATCTTAAAAGAAAGTTTGAATCACACTTTATTTTAAGGTACAATTCTTTCTATTAACAAAGCATTGATTTTTAGCTCAATAGGCTTCTAATTAGCTGCTTATTAATGTTAGTATGGCAGGAGTTAGGTTTAGGTTTGCATAGGATTAGGGATGTAGAGGATCATACTTTATAAGTATTAATAAACCGTCAATATCTTAATAATAGTCAGGTAATAAGCCAGTAATTAATATTGTAAACTAGTTTGAATAGTTTACTTTAAAGTGTTAAAGTTTGAGATACTGAGACTAATACTCCGATTTGAATTCAAAACTTATAAGAAATAGGTATGTTTTAAACTTTTACTTTATATTATGAGATATAAACTTGAAGTTGTTAAAAATATTTCAAACTGTCGACATTTCACCTTTATATACAGGTATAAAGTATATACAATTCTGAGCGATGTGGTGTAGTTTCCATTCGTATTTACTCCTACTAATGAGTAAGCATGGATATCTTATCTATAAGGATTATGGTAGGGCACAGATAAGATGATTATGCTTAAGAAGAGAGACAGACTGAAGGAAAACACAGTTGATTTGCTGAAGGAAGTGGGAAAATGAGAGCTAGGGAAGCACTGACACCAAATACGACACCAGCTGCCAGAGTTGTACCTACTTTGTAGGGCTGCAGGTATGCAACGCCTTCAAATGAGGCTTCCAGGTAGCAATGGAAACCGAGTTCTCATCAGCCGCATAGCTACGCCACACACACTACGTGCAGAATATACAAAACCAAGAAATGAGGAAAGTAGAAAATAAAGAGGAATACACAAGGCCAGGAAAAAAGCAGGGATTGGGAAAATAAAAAGGAGAACAACAAAAGAAAAAAATAAAAAAGATTAGTAACAACCGGTTCATGTAAGCGCTCTTCCATCAGTTCACTGCATTGATACATGCCTTTGAGGAGGGAGAACACTTTTATAGAACAGCCATGTGGCACTCAGGTATGATCTGGACAGGTCTGTGGAGTAGAGACGCCACGCAGCCTGGTGCAGGAGACACACATACACACAAACACACACACAGGGGACATGGGTGGAGAAAGACAATAGCATGGTGAGGAAACAGCTAGTGAATCTTTGACTGAGATCAAGACAATTCATCAAACCATTGCTTTGGGTTTTTGAAGAGTTCTGCTCTTGAGTTGTATTTTAAAATCCAAAAGTCTGAGACCACTTAAAAGTCTAAAATAAGTCATATCTAAAATAGGACTACCTGCCTTTACTGAACTGGGCGAATTAGAATGACACTGCAATGTATCAAAACACTGCTTTGTTAATGCTTTGCATGCACACGCTGGAAGTTCTGGTTTCCCCTTCTTAATGAGAAAACAGGCTACTGCCCCCTTGTGATGCAGAAAGACACATCCCCCCAAGCAGGTGCAGAATGCGCTCCCTTGAGTAAGTCAGCTGACATTCATTTTGGTGTGTTCACACGCAGATTTTTGGTCCAGATGGAACCAGATGTGAGGCGACAAAAGGTGACAACACAGTTGGGTTTCATCAGTGCTAGTTATTTGGAGTCGGCTTGGTGTGTATAGGCCTTTACAGGAATAATTCACACAAATTTCTATGGCTTTCATATTGCAATGCTATCCATGTCCAGTGTGAAAGCTGATTCACACTGCGCAGTGGCTATGGCCTGAAGGTGAGCGACACAGGCACGATTATACAACAGGAACAGATTTTAAACACACACACACACATAAATAAATAAATATATATATATATATATATATATATATTATATATAAATATATTATATATAATTACACATTTTTTTTAATATATATATTAACCAACAATTTTGCCAACCTAAGATTTGGTGCATTTTAAAATGTGTTGGAAACCGGTAGCCATTGAAATCTATAGCAGGAAAATATTATGGATGTCAGTAGCTACTGATTTTCAACATTCTTCTAAATATCTTGTTTATTCTGTTACAAAACATATTAAATAAAATAGGCATGGAATAAATGGAGGGTGAGTAATCAATGACAAAATGTCAAATTTGTTGGTGATAAACTACAATTAAACGCAAATCAGCTCATTTCCATTATAATCAATTTAATCTTTTTTCTAGCATTTTAAGTAAATTAACACAATTAGAAAATATAAGGAATGTCAGAATTGAGCTTTGTAAAGTTAGAATAGTGAGCTTATATCTCAAAATTCTAATAGAGACAGTCGGAATAGCAGGTTCATTTCTGACTATCTGACTATTTTTGTTATGATTCAGATTTTTTCTCAGAATTTTGAGAAAGATTTTCACAATTCTGTCTTCACTATTCTCACAAATGCAGGTTGTTTAAAAAGTAAAGTGTGAACTTTATTTTATGCACAAAATTAAAATACTGCATAACGCATCTGCAAAGAAAGCATTATTCTCATCCTATATGTTACTCACTTTGTGAGAAACTAGCATAATCTATGAAGAAAAAAAACCCAAAAACATTTATTACTAAGGTAAAGGTTTTAGCTTTTTTTTCCTTCAAAGTAAATACTGTACACCCAACAAACTCTATCATCCTATCTTGCATTTAGAGGGACTGCCTGATTTTTGAGAAATTAGTCATGCGAGATAGTTTATAGAGGTAATTACATAAAATAACATTTTGAGGATGATGGTTTATGCACTTTTTTTAATTTAGCAATTTTATGAAATCCTTTTTTTTTTAATTACAGTGTATTTCCAATTCCACAATTTCTATAGGTCTCAGGTTTTTGGACCCCACACAATTCAAAAAAGATCTGCAGACATTGATCTTCATACGAACACTCCATTTGCAAATATGAGAGTGGATCAATGTTGAATAAATGTCTTGAATCTGAATGACACACAACATCAAAACAGCCAGAGGACTTGAAAGTGATGTGGTGAACGAAAAGAAGTATAGAATGTTTAAACAAGCAGGTGTTTATAAAGCACAAACATTTTAAAATAAGAGATCAAAAACTGAAAGTAACCACCTTAGGTGCAAGTGCACACCTGCAAGTGCACACCTGTATTTAGGACCTCACGTGTTACTTTAATTGTTTAGTGTTAGAGTAAAGATGAGATCATTATATAATAGTATATCAGCAATATTTGGATTTTATTTTATTTAAAGACAACATAAAACCCTATATCAAAACAATATTTAAAGAAATAAATCATTTGCAGTTCAGTAGGAATTAACAGCATTTTAAAAGTGACATCAGATTATATTTTCACTTTTGTAGATTTTTTTGTGTTTAGTTTAGCTATGACTACCAGCTCAGAGAAGTGGAAAAGAAAATATTCAGCTTAGTTTTTTACAAGCTGTTTGAATGCATTCATATACCTTAATTGACCTGTTTGAATTTGTGCCGGCTTAAACATAACCAGCTACTTCTTCACATGAGCCCGCCTCCAAGCAATCTATGGAGTTTTTCCACCTCTAAAACGGCTAATGATGGTGCCACCAGTCTCACTATTCATACTGTATGTATAGATGTTTGTTTAAATACATTTTTCACTGATAATGGCAGGCTGCTATGCCAAACACTACTTACTGATACACAACTATTATAGACAGGCCAGCTCAATCTCACATTTTGTCACTATAATGTAGAAACAGCTTCAAATGTTCTTCATGTCAGTCAAACAGACAATAGCCCCTTTCACACAAACAGTCCTAAACTACCGACAATTTTCCAGAAAGGGATCATGAGTGAACAGGCCCTTTTAGAAAATACCGGGAAATTCGTTCTACCAATTTTCCAGAAAAAGAAAGTTGCTACCTTCATTAAGCAGATCACTAAAATAAAAACTATAAAAAACTATAATAAAAATATTTTTGCCGCAGGACATAAATTAAGTCTCGTAGGTTTATTTTTAATAATTTAGTTTCAGTTCAGATTTTTTTTTGTTTCAAAACATCAATGTTCTCCTTAAAAGTAGCTATAACTGTTGTTTTGTTTTTACTTATGGCTCAGTATGTTTTGTATTTTAATTTCATATTCAGTCACCTTACATATGCGTGTGAAATATAATGCCGCATAACCGCGGAAAAAGAAGAAAAAGCTGTCAAAGGTTAGAGCTAATTCATCAAAATAAGCTATATTAAAATAAAGCATGTATGTTAATACAGGCATAGTGTGAACAAACTCAAGGCTGAGATATGCGCTTGCCTTTTAATGCTTTTAAAAATATTTGCGGCCTTTTTATAGGCTACAGGCTACTATGGTGTATAACAATTTTTTTTTCTTTTTTTGTATGGTAAAGGACAATGCACATTATGTTATTGATGTAAACTTAGGCTAAAACTAACCATTGATAAACGTGACCTACCTCAAGCAGATCACTTAAAGTATAATAAAAATAATTTTACCGCAGGACATAAATTAAGTCCCGCAATTTTATTTGTAATAATTTAGTTTCAGTTCTGTTTATTTTTTTTCTCAAAACGTCAATGTTCTTCTTTAAAATAAAATTGTGTTTTTTGTTGTTGTTGTTGTTGTTTTTTTACTTGTAATGGCTCAGTATCTCAATATATATACATATGCGGTTGGCTCATTCTTCACGAATATAGAATTAAAATAATGGCGTGTTAGGTTCACTAAGCAGCGCATTCTCTCCGCCTCATGTAAACATTTGTTTAAAGATGGACCGCAAGATGTGCTGAGTGGCTACATGTGAAGAACGATGGCAAAGCTAAGTGTAATTATTGTAATAAACTAATAAGTTATAAAGCAGAGTGTCCCGACCAACAGGACTAAGCATATGCGGTTGGCTCATTCTTTACGAATATAGAATTAAAATAATGGCGCGTTAGGTTCACTAACCAGCGCATTCTCTCCGCCTCATCGTTTATAACCAGCGGGACACGCTGCTGAAGCAGGAGAGACACTGCGTCATTTATAATCTTAGCTGATGTATGTAAACATTTAGCTGCTGTTAGCAGTGCTTCTGTCTTTGGATGTCACTGGGACTAAATCAGCTGCATGAATGCTAAAGCTTTGAATAAAAGTGAGCATCAAAAAAAAGCCTGAGCTCTATTATGTTTACAAATGCAAGCACATCCTTTTAGAGGTCATTTCTGGTCAATGATGTCAGAAATTTCTTGGTATTTTGGAATGGATGTGTGAACGGTCTTTTCCGGAAAAATTCCAGGACGTCCTTGTCTGTGTGAACAGCGTTTTTTGAATCTACCAGTAAAGTTGTTCCGGAAATTTTCTGGATATTTACTGGTATCACTGTGTGAAAGGGGCTAAAATCAGCAACAGCTTAAGGCTTTTGTGCAATACATTGAGGTGTTTGTGCTGCATAGGTTTTAGCTGCTCCTCATAATAGACTGCCATTCCTAAATCTGCAGCCTGAAAGATGGGATATTGTATGAAGTGAAATGGCTCACTGTGTAGTGACGTGTTTTTTAACAAGTAAAGAGTGTTTATTTAGGGTTCCATTGAGAAACTGAATCACCAAAGTTTCTATTAAAAGCCTACAGAATCATACCAACTTGTGTAAAATGGGCATCTGATGTCACCTTTAACACACGAGAATGAAGCAAGACTTGAATGTGAATTTACTAAAACAATAGCTTATTTATAATTTGCTTCATTCTTTATAACCTAAGTGATGTCAGCTGAAATAAAAATGTGTTTTCTCTAGAAGAACAAGTCATTTTGATTGAAAAAAATGACAAAACAATAACAAATAAACAAAATAATGTGCACTGATGAATCATTCAC